GTAACATGTGGTCTTCTGGGCCCCCCAGGCTGGACCACCTCTTGCGCAGCATCTGAGAGCTCAGAGTTGCGAGAATATCTTGTGCGAAACAGGCCGGACCACCTTGCGCACGGCATCTCAGATCTCAGAATTGCAAGGATTTCTCAGGCGAGACGGGCCGGACCACCTCGCGCAGGGCATCTTAGAGCTCAGAAGTTCGAGGATGTCTCAGGCGAAACGGGCCGGACCACCTCGCGCGCGGCATCGGGGAGATCAGAGTTTCGAGGATGTCTCAGGCGAAACGGGCCGGACCACCTCGCGCGCGGCATCTTGGAGCTCAGAGTTGCGAGGATGTCGCAGGCGAAACGGCCCGGACCACCTCTCGCGCGGCATCTGGGAGCTCAGAGTTTCGAGGATGTCTCAAGCGAAACGGCCCGGACCACCTCTCGCGCGGCCTCTCAGAGCTCAGATTTAGGAGGATGTCTCAGGCGAAACGCTCAATCCCGGACAACTCAGAAACGAGAGTTGTGAGGATGTCTCAGGCGAAACGGGCCGGACCACCACATTTGTTTGAGGATGTCTCTGCTTAGCTTTCCCTCGGCCGGAATTAGCTTCTATCACAACAGCACCCCGTTCAGCAAGCTGTTTGGGGAAAAATAACTCTCTGGAAGGTCAGGGGCGGAGAGGCCTCAGCGATCCTCGGTCCTCTTGTCCTCCATCCGGGGATGCGCTCGACCCTCTCTGCCCTCGAGGAGGGCCGGGGGGAAGACGCCAAGAGGCCTCGGAGCCTCGAGCCTCCGTCCGCGATCCGGGGATGCGCGAGCAGGCAGGAGGATCGGGGGGGGGGGTGCACGAAGAGGCGTCAGGGAGCTTCAACCCCTTGTCCTCGATCCAGGGGTGCCCGAGCAGGAGGATCGGGAGGGGGGCCGCACCGCCTGCACGGCCGCCGCCCTGGAAAACGCAGGCCTTGGCGGCGCCCGGTGGGAGCCCCGCGGCGGCCGCGAGGTCACCGCGCGGCGGCCCCCTGCGCCTGCCTGGCACATGCGAGGGCCCCCGTCGCTGGACTGGAGGCCTCCCTGCGGGGCCCCCGTAGGGAATTCGGTGGGGAGTGAGGAGGAGCAAGAGGAGGAGGAGGAGGAGGAGGAGGAGGAGGAGGAGGAGGAGGAGGAGGCCTCTGCGCACTACTCCCACCTGTCGAGCGTGGCCGTCGCGCGCCCTGCTTGCGCCTCACCGCAACCGTGGGCCGCCGTCACGCGCCGCGCTCGCCACACGCCTCACCGTCACACGCCGCGCTCGCCAGGCATCCCGCCTCTCTTGTTGCCCTCCTTGATGCTATGAGGTAATTCTTAACGCTTCGCGTATCCCCACCAGTCGACGTCCTCGGATCGTTCCTTTCTGTCCGCACCTGGACTTGGGGAACGCCTCACGCGCCATTTTGGCTGCGCTTGGTCTCCTCGGTGCCTGTCCTCAGGCTCGTTGGATGCACCGTTGCACGCCCGTCCTGGGGCTGTACTGGCTCCCTGGATTGCACGTCGGCTCTGCCGCCCTGGACGCTGCCGCCCCCTGCCGCCTGATCCGCGGCCCCGCGCGCGTTAGGCAATTTAGTCGCAGCCGTGGCCCGCCCGCGACCTCCCGCCGCTGGCGCTTCCGCCTGCGGCTGTAAAAAAAAAGTATCCCCACCAGGGGCGTTGCAGACCAGCCATCCAGTTCCACCAGCCGCTGCTGCACCTCAGCCGCCGTTTCTGAGTGCTGGCCCGGCCGGCTTGCGTGTCGCTTAGTAGCTAATTAGGCTGGCCCGTGTCCCGGAGCCCCTCTCGCCGCCTGCCCTCTGCTGTGCGGCCGCAACCAAAAAAGTATCCCCACCAGCCCACCAAGAAACGATCAGCAGGGGAATTGGTGAATCAGGGGCGGCAGGACGCATGCAGTCGCGCAGCCGTCTTCGGGAAAACAAGGATCACGAATAGCTTCCCGCATTGAAGTTAAAGATGGAAATCAGTGCAAACTACGATGGTGCTTCGAGGCTTCGATGAGGGGTGAGGGGTGTTTCGATGACTCGTAATGGCTGTTGCACTGAATTGTATCTTAAACTCGCGTGCGTTTCGGAACTTGGAGCCATCTTGGGGCTCACTTGGGGCCCTCCTGGAGCTCATTCCTGGGGCTCTCTTGAAGTCATCTCAGGGCTCTTTTGGGGCGTCTTGGGGCCTTCTCGGGGCTCTTTTGGAGGGTGCGGGGGCCTTCTTGGGGCTCTTTTGGGATGCCTGAGGGGCTTCCTTGGGGCCGTCTTGGACCCTCTCGCTTAAAAAAGGGGTCCTCAATTCGGACCCTCCCATCGGAGGCTCAAAAGTGCCGTCCTGGGGCCCTCTTGGCCCGCTCTTGGAGCGCTCTTGGGCGCTCTTTGGGCCGTCTTGGGGCCCTTTTGGACCCCTCTTGGGGCTATCCGGGACCGTCTTGGGGCCAGCTTGAGGCCTCAAGAGTCCATCGGAGGCGAAAAAGTGAGAAGGCAGAAAACATTGGTTTGCCTTAAATCGTTGAAGGATTTTGGCCTCTTGGTGGGTCCTCGGAGGCCTCGGACAGCACTTGAAGCCGTCTTTTTTTTTTTGCAAGTGCAACATGGTGATCAGAATCTGATCCAGCTTCATGGAGGCTTCTGACAAACGACGCCAGGCCCGAAAAAAAAAACTAATATCGATTACAATTGCCGCGGAACCCACTCTACCCACCCACCCTCGCCTTCGGGTCCCGCCACTATGCGCCCTGCGTGCGAACCCTGGCGGCTGGCTAAAAATCCAAGAAGACCGCCCAGCTCTGGTGCGTGTAAATCCAAGAGTCGTCGGGCTCTTGAAAAAACATTCGGAGCCCACTCGGCTGAAGAAATGATGGTCCTGATAAGACGCGGTACTGAGGAGCCAACGTTTCCTGCACATCGCTGCAGGTGGAGGCCTTTTGGGATCATCACCATCACCAACACCATCACCATCACCAACGTCATAACATCACCAACATCAACATCAACATCAACATCAATCATCATCATCATTATCATTATCATCATCATCATCATCATCATCATCATCATCATCATCATCATCATCATCATCATCATCATCATCATCATCATCATCATCATCATCATCATCATCATCATCATCATCATCATCATCATCATCATCATCATCATCATCATCATCATCATCGGAGCGCCCCGGATCGGCGGCACTGGCTGGAGACCACTACAATAATTCAAAATCTAAAGCAAGGCCTAGAAAGCTGCGCACACTTTCGGGAGAAGTAGTTTCCCAGCCCTGCGCCAGCCTTGCCAGCGTAGCATTTTGCAAGTGCAACAGGGTGGTCAGAATCTGATCCAGCTTCATGGAGGCTTCTGCCCAGCGACGCCAGGCGTGGACAACAAAAAAAACTGATACCGATTACCATTGCCGCGGAGCCCACTCTACCCACCCACTCTCGCCGCTGGGTCCCTCCACTATGCGCCCTGCGTGCGAACCCTGGCGGCTGGCTAAAAATCCAAGAAGACCGCCCAGCCCCGTCGCGCGCAAATCATGGTGCGTGTAAATCCAAGAGTCGTCGGGATCTTGAAACGGCATTCGGGGCACGCTCGGCTTCGCTGCCCGTAGCATGAAGAAATGCTGGTCCTGATTTGCGGCCAGGGCGCGGTACTGAGGAGCCAGCGCTGCCTGCACAACGCTGCAGATGGAGGCCTTCCAATGGGGCGCGGGTAACTGTAGACAAGCGCGTCCCACGACTCGCAAGGTAACTATACTACCAAATGGCCTGGATCTGCAGCGGGGGATCTGCGATCTATGACGTCGAGGCCGGTGCTTTGCGAGCAGTGGAGCGCGCTCAGTGAGTAATGGAATGGGCTCGCGGCATCGCCTGCGACTCCGGGCGGGCGGGGCGCGACGCGGCCCGCCGCGCGCCGCGGGCGGCCTCTGCACCCCGCCGTGCGCCGCGCCACCGCCGCGGCGTGGCGGCGGAGGGCCTCACGGTGTGACGCCCGCTGCCGGGGCGCCCTCCGCAGCTCCGCGCGGCGGGGCGCGCCGCCGCCGACCGCCGGGCGCCATCGGCCCCGCGGGCGCGGCGGGCCCCAGGGCCAGAGGCGCGAAGCCCTGCTCCACCACGGAGCGGACGTCGTCGGCCTCCATCCTCTGAGTGGGGTCGACCACCAGCATCCCGGTGAGCATCGCGCTGCAGGTGGGCAGCAGTGAGCGGAGCTCTGGGCGGCAACTCTTCTCCAGCATGTTGGCAACCGCGGCAGGCATCTGGAAGAAGGTCTGGATGCACTCGGTGAACGTTGTGTTTTCGCCCTCTGGCCGCACCTCTGGTTCTGCGTCCTCGATCGCGAGCTCCACCACACGCACCCCGCAGAATACCTCCGCGAGCACGACGCCCAGGCTCCAGATGTCCGCTGGGCAGGGGTCGTAGGCGGGACCATCTCGGAGCACCTCTGGGGCGGCGAAGGGCACGGTGCCGCAGGGGCTCTGGCACATCTTGCTGTCGTCCTGGATGATGACGGAGAGGTCGAAGTCGGCCAGCTTGATGGTGATGGTCTCGGGCGTCTCATTCACGATGATATTTTCTGGCTTGATGTCGCGGTGGCAGACCTGCACCACTGCGTGCAGGTGCCACACTGCCTCGACGCACTGCGAGGCGATCTTCACGACCCTGTCGATGCTCAGTGGTCGCTGCTTCTCCGGCTGAAGTGCTTGGCGGTGGTGCAGGCGGCGGTACAAGTTCTCTGGGCCCCCGTACTCCAGTCGAAAGATGATGTGCGTCGGCGAGTGGTATGTCTGGTGAAGACGAATAATGTTCGGATGACGCGTCTTCTCGTCGCTCAGCATCTGCATCACGCGGATCATGCGGTTGAGGTGCATCAAGTCTCTGATTTCCGTCATGGCCTCAGTGGACACCACCTTGACAACCTGGACCCTGTTGCCCACCCCGGGCCTCTCCGTCAACTTGTAGACAGACCCAAACATCCCCTGTCCGAGCTTGTTCCCGATGATGTAGCCGGGAAGCTCCTGCGGCTCTCCGGGCTCAAGGTTGTGGTCGACCGGCGGGATCTCGGGCGCCAGGCGGGCCCTCACGTAGTCCCACAGGGCCGCGTGCGCGCAATGCTGCAAATACTCCGCGTACTGCGTCCGCGAGCGGGTCTCCGCGACCATTTCGGTCAGGTTCCGCGAGAGGATCGCCGACTTGCGGATCATCGAGCGCACGGCCATGGAGAGTCGCAGCCCCGCTGGCTCGCCGCACACGATGCCGTCCAGGCCCTTGCGCAAGAGATCACCCACCAGCTCTGGCCTCACTAAGTCCGAGTTGTCCTGGCGTTGGGAGCCAGGCGCAGCGGAGTGGGGCACCCAGAACATGGGCGGGGCGTCCTGGCTGCCCGTATCTATGTTCGTGATGATGTCGCAGAGCCTCTTGACCTCGTTGCAACTGTTCTGGTTGCAGAACACAAGGATGGTGTGCAGATTGGCCGAGTCCTCCCCGCTGAGCAGGGGTGTACCTTCGCGTATGTCCGAGTCCCTGGAGATCACGTGCCACACGTCCTGGAAGGCCTCCGGAGGCACCAGGTTACTGGTGCAGAAAATGCGGAGTCCTCCCTCGAAGTCGTCCTCGTTCAGGTCGCGCAGGCGGCTGTGAAGCCACGCCTGTGCGTGCCTTAAGTCCTCTGGCGAAGACGCGGCACCAGACTCGCCGTTCTCGCGTTCCACCTGCTGCGACGACACGCGCCTCGGCGGTCCGATCGTCATGCTCTACGACAGGTGCGGTCCTGGAACTTCGGGCAAGCCACTTGGCGTTCCGAGCGGGAGGCTGCCAGGACCTCGCTGTTCTTGAGCCAAAATGGCTACGGAGCACTTGAAGCCGTCTTTGGGCCGTCTTGAGGCCACTTGGACGTGTGTCGGGAGCTACCTTGACCCATCTACCGCTATCTTGGGCCATCTTGGAGGCCATCTTGCGCTCTCTGAGACCCTCTTGAAGCCATCTTGGGCCATCTTGGACGCTGCTATGGCTATGGGTCGGGCCCCCCCCGTCCAAACGCATGGAGGAGGGGGGAGGTAAACCTCCCAAGCAGGGAAAGGAAGGAGGTTGGAAAAGGAAGCGCCCTAGACCACCTGCGCCCAGATAACTGGTGCCCTCCTTGATGCTATGAGGTAATTTCGGACGTTTTCGTTCCTATCTCCCACTGCTGTCGCTAATTACGGCAGGTTCGTGCGGCGTCGGCGCGCGCGAACGTTTTTGACACTGCGTCGACCGTACAACCTTGACCGTTCAAGGTTGAAATCTGCCGCGTGCATCAGCGCTTCTGCGTCGCAAAATTCAACCTTGAACGCCATCACTGGCGTCGCTGGCGCGCCAACGCCGCACGAACCTGCCGTACCTTCTACATGGCATCATCCCTCCAGTACTCCTAGAGCGAATGCTCCAAGAGTCGGCAGGCTCCTGATTTGAACAGGCCCCCCTCCCTGGCGCGCGGAACGCGCCGGGGGCGCCGCCGGTTGGGGTACAGTTTGGTGGGTGGTGACCCCTATCTATCGCGGCCCCTGACTCGTCACCACCGCCATTGGTCGCCGCCGCCGCCGTCGGTCGCCGCCGCCGCCGCAGTCGCTGCCGTTGGCCGCAGCCGTCGCCGCCGCCGTCGGTCGCCGCCGCCGCCGTCGGTCGCCGCCGCCGCCGTCGGTCGCCGCCGCCGCCGTCGGTCGCCGCCGCCGCCGCGGTCGCTGCCGTTGGCCGCCGCCGTCGCCGCCGCCGCCGGTCGCCGCCGCCGCCGCCGGTCGCCGCCGCCGAGCCCCACCGCCGCGCACGCGCGCGCTGGGCGGCGGCCTGGTCTGCCGCCACTCGAGCGGCAGGTCGCCGCCGAATGCCCCTGGCGCGGACGCAGGGCGCGGGCGCGGAGGCGGGCCGCGCTCGCCGGCGGGGCCTCCTCTCCCCGGGGGGGTGGGGGAAGCCGAGGCGGGCCGCTGGCCCAGCTCGCCCCCGGTCTCCGCTCCGCCTCCGCACCCCCCCCCTCCCCCTCCCCCACTCTTGCTCCCTGCCCCCCTCGTCCCCTGACCTTCCAGAGAGCTATGTTTTGGCACTGGAGGCCTAAAAACCTAAAACACTGCGCGAAGCGGCCTAAAACCAAGACGTATAGAACAGCTCTGGGAGGGGGCTTCTTCAGTCGGGTGCCATTCTTTGGCCCTCCTGGAAGGTCAGGGTCGCCCGCCCCCTCGGCTGCGGCGCGCCCTCGGCCCCGCCTCCGGCCCCCCCGCCGCCAGAGCCGCCGGCCGCCCCGCCGGGCCGCCAAGGAGGAGGAGGAGGAGGAGGAGGAGGAGGAGGAGGAGGAGAGGAGGAGGGGAGGAGGAGGGGAGGAGGAGGAGGGGAGGGGAGGGAGGAGAGAGGAGGAGGAGGAGGAGGAGGAGGAGGAGGAGGAGAGCACCGGAGCGCACCTCCGCGGCCCTCCGCGCGCGGGGCGCGGGGCGGGTGCCGCGCTCGGCCGCGGGGCGCGGGGCGGGAGGACGGAGGAGGCTCACTCGCCATCGCTCGGACGTCCACTCAACGTGCAATTCTTCGACGCCGTTCCCGTTCCGTTTCTGCTCGACGGTCCTCGCCGAGGGAACAGTGCGCACGGCCGAGCGATGCCAGGGTCGCGGGCCACCCCGTGGATCGAGGACAGGGGGGTCGAGGCTCCCTGCCGCCGCTTCGTGTACCCCCCCCCCTCCCGATCCTTCTGCTCGAGCACCCCTGGATCGAGGACAAGGGGTTGAGGCTCCCTGACGCCTCTACGTGCACCCCCCCCCGATCCTCCTGCCTGCTCGCGCATCCCCACCCGGATCGCGGACGGAGGCTCGCTCGAGGCTCCGAGGCCCCTTGGCGTCTTCCCCCGGGCCCTCCTCGAGGGCAGAGAGGGTCGAGCGCATCCCCGGATCGAGGACAAGAGGACCGGTGATCGCTGAGGCCTCTCCGCCCCTGACCTTCCAGAGAGCTATGTTTTGGCACTGGAGGCCTAAAAACCTAAAAAACTACGCGAACAACAGCCTAAAACCAAGACGTAGAATAGCTCTGGGATCGGTCTTTGTCAGTCGGGTGCCATTTTTTAGCCCTCCTGGGAGGTCAGGGGCGCCGCCCCCCGCACGTCCCAGTCCTGGAGATGCAGTCGGACTTCCTCGGACAGGGCCGGCCCTGGATCGGGGGCGGGGCTCCAGGATCTCCACTGGACCCTCCTCGAGAACGACGGGCCGAGGGCACAGCCCTGCACTCCAACGACCTGTTGAGATTCGAGAAATTGGTTCCCTGACCTTCCAGGAGGGCTAAAACATAGCACCCGACTGAAGAACCCCCATCCCAGAACTGTTCTACGTCTTGGTTTTAGGCGGTTTCGCTCAGTTTTTTAGGTTTTAGGCCTTTAGTGCTAAAACATAGCTCTCTGTAAGGTCAGGGTTGTTAACCGACCAGAACTATGCAGAACTTCAGTAACGATTTTTCGAGCCAACTAGCCCGCCAGCGCGCCCGAATTACTCTCAAGCTTCGCCGCTTCACTCTGAGGGAAGCTCTACGAGTGATTGCTTGACCTTTTAATTACGGAGTCGGTCCCCCGACGTCTTTTGATGGTAATCTTGCGGCTATGGACCTGAGAATCTGCAGGCAGCAGCCTAAACACTACACGAGGACGCCCAATTTTTGGATCCGTGATGCCCCTCCGTGCCTTCCCCGGGACCCTCCTCGAGGAGGCAGGGGGGCGAGGGCATGCATGCCTGCCTCGAGGCCAAGGGATCTCTGACGCCTCGCCGGGTACCCCCCACCCCTTTCCCTGACCTTCCAGAGAGCTATGTTTTAGCACTGGAGGCCCAAAAACCTAAACAACTGAGCGAAACATCCTAAAACCAAGACGTAGAATAGCTCTGGGATCGTTTTTTCAGTCGGGTGCTATTTTTTTAGCCCTCCTGGAAGGTCAGGGTTGTGGGCCCCAGAAACGGCAAGGCCGTTTTTTCACCGTTTCAAAGAAAAGTCCCTTGAAAATGGAAACAGCAAAAGAACGGCGACCGGAAACGGCAACAAAAACGGCTCCAGGACTGGAACCAGAACCGGAACCGGTCAAAAAACGGCGACGGAGCCGGTAAAGAAGCGGCGTCGGAACCGGCACAGAAAAACGGCCAAACGGAACCGGTCAAAAAAAGGCCCTGTCGTTTCCGGGAAAGGCCCTGTCGTTTCCAGGGCCCACTAAGCTCCCCCCCCCGATCCTGCTCGAGGGCACAGGGTCGAGGCTCCCGCCAGCTCGAGGGAGCAGGGGGTCGAGGCTCTCCTGTGCCTCCTCGCGCACCCCCGGCGCGCTGCCCTGCGGGCCGAGGGGTCGTGGGCAGCCCCGGGTCGTGGGCGGGAGGTGGAGGACTGCGCGGATCGGGGCTGAGCCTCAGCGGTGCTCCTCGTTTTCGTGCTGTCTTCGTGCTCCCTCGCGCTGTCTCGAACCCGCCCCTGCCGCAGCACGAGGTCGGAGCGAACGCGGCCCGCTAGAGCGCCAGAGCGCCGTGCAGGGTCCAGCCCTGCTGACGCCTCTGGGACCTGCGGGGCGACGGCAGAGGGGGGCCAGGTCAAGAGGGGGCACGTCGACCTGGAAGCGGCGACTCGTCGCCGACGCGTCGGCGAGGAGCGGCGAGCCCCCGACGGCGACACCGCGCGGTCCTGGGCGCAGTGGGCGGTCAGGCCCCCAATCGGCGGTCAATGGGCAACGGGGGGTCGACGCCTCCCGTCTTAGCATGCTCGCTAACGCTACCCCAGATCGATGGTCATCCCTGGATGGATCGAGAATCATTCCGACTAGTTGCACGCGTTGCCCTTCCTTCGTCCTGGCCGCCGTCTCCTCGTTCGGCATTGGTGGGAGCTGGTGCCAAAGACCGTGCCGGGGATGGGGAAAAATCTATGATCGGGGACTGAAGAGGGCCTGGGGTCGAGGGGGACGATCGAAGATCGACGAGGATGAGCGGTCAAGGAGGACAGAGCATGGGGGGAGGGGGGCAAGGGTTAAGTCGGGCTTGTCCCTCTACAGAAGGATTTTGGACGAAAAATTAAAAACAGTCAAAACATACCCTGAAATAATCAAAAATGGTAAAACAAATCGTCCCCAGGCTACTTTGTTTACTATCTTTGAATACTCCTCCTGTAGATGGACAGGTCCGACTTAAGGCAAGGGAAGGAGACAGTGACACAAGCTACAAATGCCCAGAAGGCACCCGTGAGGGAGGAAAAGGGAGAAGGCGGGGAGGACCGGGGGGAAGGCAGATGGGAGGAGGGAGGGCGGACGGGGAAAGTGGAGGGGGTAAAACAGGGCTAGGATCGGGATAAATCGCTCCAGAGCGTTCCGGAGCGCTCTCAGAGCGTTCCGGAACGCTCTGGAGCGGCCGCGGCGCCCAATACATCCTCCAAACCCGCCGACTCTCAGAGATCTCGAGTCATCCCGATCCGATTTTGTCCCGATCTTCGCGTCGTTTTGGGAGGGGGGGAGGGGGGGCAGGGGGACGGGAACGGGGAGGACGAGGTGGCGCAGGGAGCTCGGGGCGTGCGGGCGAGGGGGAGCCTCGGGGCGTGCCGCACTCCCGCCGGCGAGGGCGGCTCGCGCCGGCCACGCCCCGGCGGGAGGGCGGCGGCCGCGGAGAGGGAGGGGCGGGGATGTTGAGCCGGACGGCGGGAGGGCACCTCCTCCTCCTCCTCCTCCTCCTCCTCCTCCTCCTCCTCCATCCTCCTCTCCTCCTCCTCCTCCTCCCTCCTCCCCTCCTCCTCTCCCTCCTCCTCCTCCTCCTCCTCCTCCTCCTCTCCTCCTCCTCTCCTCTCTCCTCCTCCTCCTCCTCCTCCTCCTCCCTCCTCCCTCCTCCCTCCTCCCTCCCTCCCTCCCCCCTCCCTCCTCCCTCCCTCCTCCCTCTCCCTCCCCCTC